ATGTGCAGACTTCCTTCTAACCGATGTCTAACCACACTAAGTCCTAAAAGCAAACTTTGCAATTTCTATGTGAACAGTTAAAGCTTAATATCGTGAAACCCTAGTTTGGTTCAGGCTTGAGGCCTACTTTGGTTCAGCCTGCCACCTTACAGCTAAGTAACATCACTGGTCACTGATGGATAATGAAACATCCACAGGAAAACAATCAAACTTTGAGAGCCGCAAAGACCCTCACAGCCACCTTCCTTGCAAGAAACTGCTTGATATTTTATTTTATTTTCTGCCCTAAGGGAGTGAATATTTGGGATTTCTTTTAAGCTGGGACTCCCAAAGAGCTGAATTATGAGCTAGAGACAACCTTTTTTACACTTTCCTAATGAATTTCTGAGGGACGCAGTGGCTAAGACGCTGAGCTTGTCTATCAGAAGGTTGGCAGTTCAGTGGTTCGAATCCCTAGTGCCGCGTAACTTGTCCCATCTTCTGCCAACAGTATGTAAAAATGCAAGTAGAAAAATAGGGAGCACCTTTGGTGGGAAGATAGCAGCGTTCCATGAGCCTTTGCCGTTTAGCCATGCCGGCCACATGACCATGGAGACGTCTTCAGACAGCGCTGGCTCTTTGGCTTTGAAACAGAGATGAGCACCACCCCCTAGAGTCGAGAACGACTAGCACATATGTGCGAGGGGAACCTTTACCTTTAATGAATTTCCTTTTTTATGAGCAAGATGGCCACATTAAGTAGTCAGCTCGGATTTCATAAAGGAATTACCTTAAGGATAATTTTAAGTCTCTCTCTCTCTCTCTGGCATAGTGTTATTTCAACAAACACATCCAAAACGCATTGCTACGAAAAATAATGTTTCATTACCTATATAGGAAGCCTGTGAGACTTAAATGTACAGCTAAACCAATATAAGTGATCCTCACTTACTGACCACAATTGGGATGGGCAATTCCATTGCTAATTGATGCGGCCATTAAATGAAAAGACATGTGATCGTGTGCAACTTCAGGTGTCAAGTTTGCCGATTCTGGCTGCAATTAACTAAATCATTGTGGGTCGTGAAGTGTGGCATCACATGGCTGTGACTTTTGATTTCCTCTTGGCTTCCCCACTGACTTGGGGAGAGAGCTGAGATGGCGCAGTGGTTAAATGCAGCACTGCAGGCTACTTCAACTGACTGCAGTTCTGCAGTTCTGCAGTTCGGCTGTTCAAATCTCACCGGCTCAAGGTTGACTCAGCCTTCCATCCTTCCGAGGTGGGTAAAATGGGGACCCGGATTG